AGAAAAAAAGTCCTATTTGAGAGGTGGTTCTCCATTACCATAGTGTTGTTGTTAGCCATGTGAAAAGTGTGTGTGTTTTTTTTTAATCTAAAGTCTGTTTCATTCATATTCAGTTGGCTCAGGGATTAGGGAATGAGCAAAACCATAGAGATAGGAAAGTTCTGTCAACTCAATTGGCGACAAAGCCAACATTCCAAAGAGCAATGTTGATGTGTGATGCTTGAACAGTTTGTAGGGAAGATATCTGCTTACAATAGCATTTCCAATAATAACTAATAATACATAATATTTTTCATATGTATAAAACAGAGAGCTTATTTTTAACATGGACGTGTCTCCTAGGCTGTACATTGGTCCTAGCGTGGCTCTAACTTTCTAATACTTCATCCAACATAGTTACATTATCCAGACCTCTTTACTGTATTAGTGCTGCTATAGGTTTAGGCTGCTGGATCACATACTTTAGAGATGACTTTTCCTCATTCTGCTTCATTGTATCTCTACTTTCCCACTCTGCAGTTTTTGTCAAGTTCCACTCATAACTTTGTTTTCTCTGTTTTTCCTCATCATAGAAGCCTCCTCTGGTCTGTTCCTGTTTGGCCCTGACTTCATCCTGGATTGAAATATTAGCTGTGCTGCTGCCAACGACATATCTGTTTATAGATACTGGAGCTTGGCATGTTTCTAGTGTTTCTTTTACTGTGACTAGCATACTTGTCTTGGAGCTTGTCTGCCTGGCTGTGTCTTTCCTGGATAGGGCTACCTGTGTAGTTAGTTAACAGTTACCTTTTATATATCTTGTTCTTTTTGTATGTCTGCTTTCCAGTCAGCCTTAGGCCAAGCATACACTGTATGATATTTTCAATCATTGTACTCAGCTTAAGCTCAAACTGTACGAGGAGACAGCAGGGTTTAAGCATGATCTTACACTGTACAACCCAATGCTCTTGTGTGATCTAACTGCTCACACTGTACATCCAAAAACCACACGGACTCACCGCGGAGAGATGGGGCTGGTTGGACTCATCTATCCAGGATAAGGAGAAGAAAAAAACCCTTGTTTGTACATGCACAGTGTGCAAGGTTTGGGTAAATCAGCTCATAGACACTCGTAGCTTTGCTTAAACAGCAGGATTTTCCCTCTAACACCTTACGAGGGCCGGCTGAATTTCAAACATGTTTGATTTTCTCCTGACGTTATGATTTCTGAGGGAGGTGGTCGTTATCCCTCGTTATCCCTTGTATACTACACAACATGACTACACAACACAATGATGAGGCTGAAAGTGGTCCCTATCCAAAATATTCTTGCACGACAGAAGAATCGACCCGAAAAGGGCAAAAACTCGTAAAGTGTATACCCGGCTTTAGCAGATGGCCGCTCACACTGAGTCTGGTTCTGCTGGAGGTTTCTTCCTGTTAAAAAGGAGTTTTCCTCTCCACTGTGGCTACATGCATGTATGGGGTGAGGTATTTCTGAAAAATATATGAAAAAGTTAAAGGAAAATCATGGCCGCAGCCTCAACCAGGAGGAGCATGTCTTGCAAGTTAGTGACCGGTTTTCCTCGACCAATCTGACAGTTTTTTCTCTGTAAAGTGCCATGAGATGACATGTGTTCTAAATTGCACTATATAAATAAACTGAATTGAATTGACATACAAAGTACAATGAATACAAAGTAGTAAATACAATTGTAAAGAGGTAAGTATTTGCAGGATTGCATCCACATTCTTTAAATTTAACCTTCATGTATAGTAATAGGATGTAAAAAATCGTTCAATAAAATTTTTTTTAAGACTTTCCACTAAATACCTAACAATGAAGAAGGTGCTAAATCATAAAAACAATATTTTTACCAATTTTAAAATTCTGTATACCATAATATTTTGTATGGAATTGGGTCTAGGTGAAACATAACAGGCAGCAATTAATAATGAGATTCCCAATAAAGTGTAGAGACCAACTTCACACTACTCTACTCCACTCTCTATACTCTACATGGAATACCTGCATGAAAATTCTCCCTCATGAATCTTATTAAGTTTTTGCTGAAAATATGACAAATAATATGTCTTTATCAATGTGAATTGAATAGGACCTATTCCTTTGAAAAGTGTAAAACATCTAATCATGCTCTCATCACCCTCTTCCGATGGAGATATCCTAAGAGTACAGTGCTTGAGGGCCATCTTCAATAGAAAAGGACACACCAGTTTTCAAAACTTCCTTGAGCAGATCTCAGCCAAAGAGTAGAAGATACTCTGGGTTACACAAAATAACCCTGCTATTAACCAGGATTCTGAAATGGAAAATACAAGGTTTGCAGGACTTAACCGAGAGATTACTCCAGATTGACAATAATCCTCCTTTGTGAAATGGAGTACTGCTAAACTTGACTCTAACTGTAGCATACTTACTGAACAGCCATTGGTGAATTTTAAATAACTAAAAAACACCAAAGTATAGAGTATTAACAATTTCTGTGGCGCTCATTTATTTTCCTCATTGTAAGACAATGTTTTTTAAGTTTGCGGAGTAAAAAAAACTGAAAAGATGCCAACAATAACATTGATATTTATGTCTAAATTAGTTTATACGGCTGAAAAATAAGTTTTTGTTAAGGTTGAAATTTTGCAGGGCATATGTACTCAAAACCCTTTTTTTATTTTTCCAGGAGATAAATAAATACAGGGATGGTCAATCTTTATTAAACAATGCAAAAGCGATATCTGGTGGTTGCAAGAAAAATGTAATCAATTTGTTTAAATAAGCATATTGTGAAAAATTAGGAAAACAAAAAAGAACAAAATGAGGAATGATGCTATACAGATGTTATAGATTCTAATTCTCTGCAAAAAATATTCAGTGTGTTGAGAGTAAATAACAAACAGAAGATTAAAGAAAGAGATATTCTCTAAGCAGCATAAAAAATATCAACGTGTTGATGGCAACATTTGCAAGACATTAAACATGTATGGTCGCCCTGCTCAGTTATATCTCTGCAGTTATATTCACAGTGCTGTACTTTTTCAACATTTATTAATGTTTTCCTCAAAATCCTACAAACAATACCCTATTACAACAACATGGAAGGATAGTCAAGGCAGGGCAAGGCAAGAGCTGTTCAATAGAAAAAAGAAATAGTACACTGTAGCACAGTCAAAGGCCACTCCTAATTTGTTAAAACATAGGATTTGTGTGTTTGTACAGCTTTCTTGGAGTTTATTCAACAGCAATGGAGCATAAAAGCTAAAAGCTGCTTCTTTATGTTTGGTTCTGGTTGTGCAGAGTAGATTTGAATCAAAAGACCATAAAAGTCAGGGTTGGTTGATGCACTGACAATTATGTAAGGTATGGTGGTGCTCAAACAGAATTATTTTGAAGTTTATTCTCTGATACGCATGGAGTCAGTGAAAACACTTTAAGATGGGTTGATGTGCTCCACTCTCTTAGTTTTGGTGAGGACATGGGTAGCAGCATTCTATATAATCTGATCAGCTTTTTAGGTAGACCATCTGGAGAGTTCTCCTGTTTCTGTGTAGGAACACTCGAGCTCTGATAGAGTGACCATGAGGTTCTTGGTTACATCTCTGACAAAGGGACAAATATTACTCTAGAGTTGGGTGGTTGGTCCTGTGTGGTTGTTGGGTTGAGCTTCCTGCTTTATCCATGACAGTCATTGTGTCTTTCTGGAACATGTTATTTATTATTAAGGAGATGACAATGGTCCTTGTCTTGCAAGTTATGGCAATACAACAGGAGTTGTCCTTTTCATATATGCACCTATACATATTGGCCATTTACCTGTCTGACTAAAGCGCTCTTCTCCCACTCAGTCAGCTAAGGCAGTTCACCAGGCCTAAGAAGAGTCCTGATGGATTCAAACATATTCCATTTATGAATGGACGATACTGCGCTCAACTGGACCTTCAAGCACCAGATAATTTTTCTGTATCCTTCCCCTGATTTGTGCCTCAAGGAAATTCCATCTTCGAGGTCTATAGAATGTTAAATTGATTTTAACATGGCACTCTGGCCATCAGCTGTGGGATCTTGTATAGATAGGTTTGTGCCTTTCCTATTCATGTGCAACCATCTCAATTTAAATGGTGGACTCCATTTAAGGTTTTACAAACATTTCAGCAAATAGTATACACCTCAAATCAATTCTGAGTTACTCAACAAAGGCTTAAAATATTTAGACAATTTTTTATATGAAAACGAAAACAACTTTTTAACACTGCTCTAAATGGGTAATAATAAGAATTTGGACAGAAAGAAGACCAACCTCAGATAGTTTTTGCATCACAAATTTTAAATGTGAATTATTATCTAGTTTTTTTTTTTCTGGGGCTGGTTAAGTGAATCCTGGTTAGACTGAAACAAAAGTATCTATTTTTTGCAAATTTTTCAAACTGCTATAATTGGGCACTGGCTGCATTATATTTGCAAATTATATTTGGAATATGATTTGTAACATACATAGATCTGTGAATACTTAACTGAGAGTAAGCTAACTTTTTGGGGGTCTTCTCCTTAAATACCATTGTTTCAATAGAGACAGAAAAGCAAAAGCTTAGCCTATTGCTTTAACATAATATGAAGATAAACACAATGCTGTGTAAGGTCTTATTGGATCTCCAGCGGATAACAGCAGGACAGTGTTGAAGCTTCACAGCATATGCCTGAGTAATTAGGACTTTAGGGGATGATAACAGCTAACAAAAAAAAAAAAAAATCCAGAAAAAATATAAAAGTGGAAGAACAAACATACAACTCATAGCGAAGAAGAAGCCCACTTGAAAAGTGATGGAGATATCAGCAGTGCAATCCCATCCTCTTATGTGGTTATTACATACTGAAACAATGCTTTTGGGATTTAGATATAAACTAATTTATCCCAACCTAACCTTTTAAAACAGACCTCTTATTATTCAAGCAGGATACGATTGTGTCACACTCAGTGTTCAACTGACAATATCATGTCTGCTTTACTCACTGGTACAGGGTTCATCCGGTTGATCAGCATCACCACGGTAGTAGCCATTGCGACAAACACAGATAGTAGCAGCCTCAGCTGTGGATCGGCTGTTGGGAGGGCATTGTAGACAAAGACCTGGGCCCTGGGTTGATTTGAAGGTACCTGGTGGGCATGCTGTGAAAAGAAAAACATGTTAGAAATGCCTGTGAAAATTCTTAGTCATCCTGGCAATGGCAACCGCAAACAGGCTTATATTGGAAGGCAACCCAACTTTTGCTCAATCCAGAAGGGGTGGCTATTTGATTTGCACCTGACTTGGAATATGTGCAAGAGGATGGACTTTCATACTGCTTAAATACGTCTGCACTCCACCTACATATTGCTGTGGTCCGAGCCATCAGAACTGACAAAGCCTCCAGGAAAAGTGTCGATACATCTTCAAAAAACTGAGCTGCGGATGCAAAATTTGCATTTGTTGTGAATGCACCAATAGCTAGACAGGCCACAATGAAAAAAAAAAAACAAAAAAAAAAACACCATCACGATTAATGACAGTCATCCACCATACCCACAAGATTTATGGATTGTGTGTAAATTTTACATAGATATTTACAAACATCACAGATAATTGTTTTTTTTTATATCACATGTTTATATTTATGACTAATGGGAGCCTATTGGTGAATATCCCCATTTAGCAAAGGTACAGACACACTATGCTCAGAATTGATAGAGTCTTGGACAGGCTGTGCAGAAAATGTACTCAGCAGTATAACCAAGACTTCAAACATTCAGTGAAGGATGGCAATAACTTTTATACCATCACAAATTGATGCAGTTTTGGTGGCACCAATTTGTCAAAGTTGCTGTGATGCATCAGAGTTGAAAAAATCTAAAGGCTGTGTTGGAGGACAAAGATTATTGTGGCTGATATTGGTGCCCCTAAGTGAAAGCAATAACCTAATCCATTTACTCTTGCACCTCAAAAGGATACAAAGCTGAGGAGATTCTGTGCCATGTGGAAGGATTTAATGACTATAATAACTATGATAAATGTCTGGTATTTTAGCAAGCTTACTGCTGGGGGTGGAAGCTGTGGTGTAGCTGCACTCTTAAGGGGGGAAGGGTTATAAATTTAATGGGACAAGGCTGATTGATTGCAACAGCTTGACTGTAGATGTAGGGTATGCTCATACTGTGTAAAAACATTTTTTTTCCTTTTATAGCTTTTAGGTAGTAAAAGGGTGAATTAGTCAGAAAAATATATATAAAGTCAAGATAAGAAAACAAAAGAAAAAAGTTTTTAACAACATTTAAAGACAAGGACAGTGTAAAGGAGAGGTGTGTGATAAGTGTTTCAGGTACTAAAGCCAAGATTTATTTAAAAAAGGTGTTGATTTTGCTTTCAACAAAATTATTAAGTTGTCTCTGGCTGAGAGCTTTTTAGTTTGATATGAGTAGCTTTTAATGGTCACAATGAAAATGAACTGGTCTATTTCCTCTGCATCAACTGGTGAAATAGTGGAGAAGGAAGCATTTCAGGTGAGTTGATCTTTTTAGTTCATTTTCCATTTGTTTTGTTCTTTCTTAAAAAAAATGCTACACTTTATTAATAAAATGGAATATTAAACCTTTAACTTTTGTGCATAGAACATATACATGCCTGGTTGTATTTTTAAACTATTCATAAATAGCTATGGTTACTACTGATAGAGATTTGAAAAAACAAAACAAAACATAAAATGATTAGGTATAGATAATTGGCATAGATAATTTAACACCAGATAATTCTTCAATTTAAAAGGGTTATTGTGGTAAAATGTTCCTCCAAAACTTGCACAAAGGGAGCATAAACTTAATGCCAAAATATCAGTGAGCTGCAGCTGTTGTTGCTTTCCTGCAAGAACATACTGGAAGGTAATAAGCCTCATTTTTAGCTCCATTTTAGTCTCACAAGCCTCAGGGATGTTATGACCTGCTGTATGTTGTTAGAGTGCATTTTCCTAGTTTTTTTTAAAGAACTTTAATGTGAGACGTAAAAAAGGAAAACAGAAATATCCTAATAGATTTATTGTAGGAAAAAAAACAATTATATCCTGCAGGGTCATTAAAAAAAACTGATATTCCATTGCTTAACTGATTTTTATACTTATTCCTTGAAATCAATTAAAATTAACAAACATCTACAAAAATAGGCATTTTCCACTGACATTTCAGGATCCTACTATCAATCAATGACTATACATTAATTTGCTGTTGAATGTGGGTATAATACTGTGTCAGTATCAGTATGCTGCATGGCATGGCAAAAACAGGCTAAACACGGAGGCAACATGACTTTTGTTCAGTTTTTCAGAAAATTATTCAACAACCTATTCAGAAGTCTTTGTCAGAGTTGGCTCTTACTAGAGCAACCTGTAGTTAAAGCAGTGATATTTTAAGTACCTGGAGGCCTATCCTCCTGAGCATATTCCAAGTCAAATACAAATCAATGATCCACTCATCGTTCTCCTGAGTTGTTGGAGTCTGTTGTTTGGTGAGAGTTTTGCATTTTACCATTTATTTTTTTAAATCACTTGACTCCTTGCATAACCTTTTTGGGATCCGTTCCAGGATAGTTGTATATGCTTTGGAGCTAAAACTGCAATCCTCCTCCTGCTTAAAAAGAACAGTTTTCCAACTACATGATGTACTAGTGCCGGCTGAGAGAACTGACAAAGATAGCCAAAGTCCTGCTGCCTGTTTTGTAATATGTTGCATAACTATACAATCATATATTTAGTGTAACATTTAAATAAAAACTGTTTAATACCATTTAGTTTATTTGAGGACAGAATAGATCAAATTGGATTAAAAATAATCTATTCTAAATCCTTCAGAATAAAATCAATTCTTGAAATTAGAATCAATAGCAAACCTAGTATCCTGTTGTGAAAAAGCAACATTAAGGTCTCCTCTTTTTTTGGAAACACGTCACCTATATTTTTATGCTTTTTTTGCCAATTTAAATCAAAGCAAACATGTCAAACATGTAAGGGAAACTAGACATTCAGCACCGAGATGAAGAACTAAATCATTAGCATTCTGACCTACAATATTAACAGGGTCTTAAAGGACCAACTATTGTGACAATAAGATATTATAGCTTTTGGAATAAGATGTAATTGGTGTCACAGTGTTTACCTTTGACATAACATTAGTTGTTTCCACCCAGCGATTTTTTCAAACAGGTAGCTTGAAGAAATGAAGAGGATTTGAAAAATAAAAAAATAATAAAACCACTTAGGTGGAAATGATAAGAAGCAGAACATGTAGTGTAGCTCTATAGATAGAGGGAGACAAATGCATAACTTAACTAAAATGACCATAAAGCTGCAGATCCCCTTATGGACAGATACTGTATGGAAAGCCTACATATGTCTTGAAAGGGGAACTATAAAAGTAAAACTGTGTCTATATGCGTGTGTGGAACTCTTTTTTTCATGTGGGAGTGGAGGTTTTCAAACTCTGTTGACTTTTACCACTTTTTCAAACGTGACAATATAAAGCTCCTCATACTACAAGTAAACTGAGACTCTTTAAAAGTGTCCCCTTCTCATATGAGGAAGCAAAACCCAGCTGCAGAGACATTTTATAAGGCAATAAATCCTGACAGTATCCAACATTACAAGACAATAAAGCCACAGATCAGAAATTGCTTCCCGGTACAAACAGTGAAGGGGACTTATGTATCATCATACCTGATGGAGAATTATATACAGATGAAAATCTCACAGAATGCACCACAAAAGCATCACGTTTTTTGAGCTTGTTTTTGTTGAAATAGTTTTCTGTGAATTGTTCCCTCTGAGCTTAATGGAGTGTGAGTAGAATATGTACATAAGGTTAAGCCCTTTGGTTGTGTGTTCACATTCAAACTGCAGCTTCCCTGGACACTAATAAATGGGTAAAAGTGAAGAGAAAAGCAGAAGAGCCTGTGCTGATTCAGCTCTCTGAGCTAGCAGTGCTGTAAATGAGCTTCAAAGCAAACTGTGTGTGAAGAAAAAAAAGAAGACATACACTCTCATACTCATGTACACATACTCAGCTAAACATACACACTCTAAAACCAAGAGAAAACAACAGCTCTGACATCAAGAAATGCATTTGGGGATTTATAGAACAGCACAAGTAGTCACTGTTGACCCCTGTTAAATAAGACTACATACCCACGTTTTCAAGCATTTGATTACTCTATGTTCAACAGAACCTGGGATAATTCAAGTTCTCTCTTTCAGCAAGGGGGATGCTGCAATCAGCACTACAGAGAGGGAGATAAGTGACAATCAGGCAAAAGCAAACAAGCAGCCACGCTCACACATATGTATATGCAAATATTTTAGAGACAGCAGAAGATAAATGTTTGGGTATATTATATGTCCTACCTTGGAGCTGAAGCTCCTTCACTAATTGAAACATAATATGCGCATGAATCCAAACATTAAATTCGTTAATTAGTGGCTACTGATCTGCCTCTGTGTGAGAGGGAAGAAAAACAGACAGACAAAGGCAAGGACAGAGAATTAGAATGTGTGATTCATGTAAGGAACTCCCTAAAATGGTCTTGTTTTGAAGGCTGGCAGGCTGATATCCTACAACTGGTTGTAACAAGACTTATCCATTTAATGCTGTCCCATTTGAATTGTACTCTTCTCCTCTGTCTTTACATGTCTCTGAATTCTCCCACCTTTTCCTCCACTCTTACTGTACCTTGATCCTGATTGACGGGTTTGAATCTGCTTTATTCGTCTGTCTTTTCTCTATCTGTCCTTCTGTCTGACACAATCTGCAGCTGACAGAGATACAGCAGCAGGGAATCTTCACTCTCTCCCACACAGTCACACAATGATGGCCTAATGTTAAAGCAAGCCTGGCCAAAAGACATGAAGGTTTTCCAGTGCACCAGCAAATCATAGCATTGTTTATATATATATATATATATATATATATATATATGTATATATATATATATATATATATATATATATATATATATATATACGGTTCTGCGCAGTATCTTTGCTGTGCCTAGAACTGCACTCCTCTGGACCAAGATGTCGGATGTATTTCCAGGGATCTGCTGTAACCACTCTTCAAGTTTGGGGGTCACTGCCCCGAGTGCCCCAATGACCACC